GTACAATTCGATTATACGGGAAAACGATGGTTTATTTATTAGGTATCTATTTCAAATCGACGTGCACAATTTTCAGATGTTCGATAAAAATATATATCTAGATCTACGTGTATACTAATTATATGGTCGGGGGAATGGCGATGGCTTTCGACATTTCGGTTAAATGTTATATGGTATACATATTCATAACGTAAGAATCCGCAACGGTTTTTAAAACAACCACGGAACCTTTCCGGACGGGGAAAACGAGTGCACCGCAGCGAGCACGTCGTTGAACAGCATCGTATGAGTGTTTAAACGTCGTCGTGTATGTTTTACATTACAATATCCGTATGTAAATATGTGGCAGACGAATTATTCTGTTCGGATGAACGCGAGTCCGTGTAGCAAAAGCTAAAACGATTATATAACACGATGTGTACATATGATCTTTGCAAGCAAACGGTGTAACGACCTGGCGGCGGCGGCGGCGGCGGTCTCGTATGTGAGAAAAAAACAACAACAACGATCTGGGAGGGCTACACCCGAAAATACGTGCACACGCACGCACAATGATCGTACTAATTTGCCACGTACACAATACCCTCTCGCCGGCATTATTATGTAAAAACGTAATCGGAATAAATAATTTAATACCGGCCCGGAGGAGCCGCCGCCTAGTCCTGGGACTACGGTTTCCCAAAGGGTGCAGGTACGGGCCACCCCAAAGACGTAGCGTTGTTCTACGGCCGTACTGCAGCGCATACCATCCCTCTGTATACATTTTACAGTCGCGGTATACACCGCGAAGTGTTTTAATCCGCAATAACTGTCTGGGTTTTACGACTACAGTTGGACACCACCCCATTTTATTATTATTATTATTATTATTACCATCGTTATTATTATTTTTATTATTATTACTACGTATTACATTAACCATCGTCCTAGGTGTTGATACGTAAAAGATACGTAATCGTAAACGCGTAAATCACACGTCGCGTAGTCTTATCACCTGACCCGTCGGACTAGGAAAACGCGTACTGCGATCGCGAACGCGTTTTAAGTCGGTTAAAGTCTTTCGAGTATTTTACGTATTTCACGCGTATAGAAGGTAATAACGCGCACAATATTACGTATTATATTTATGCATAGGGAAGAAATAGACACATAAATTGCGATCGGCGCGTTGTAAGCATGACTGCTGCAGCGTGTGGGGATGGAACGGGGAGGTAGTGGTGGCGGCGCGATGATGGGAAAAATTTCGGAATTCCAGGACAAAAGAGCCGAAAAACCAGACGTCTGATCTTTTGTGGATTGCCCCTCCGTCTGGCCGAAAGGCGCTTCACTTGACCTTTTTTTTTTCGCCTCGCTCTCTTATTCGACTAACGTTCAGGGGGTCGCATCCCTCTGAAAGCGACGGCGACGATGGTGGTGGCGGCGGCGGCGGCAGGTTAACGCATTATTATACAGTATATATGGTCTTACGCACTATGTATATATGCGCACACGTATATACACACGGAGAGGGTCTGCCGCTGAAAAGACAAAAAAAGAAAAAAAGACGGCGTGTTTAATGCGCAACCGTGATGGGGTGTCCCCGGGGGGAGAGATCCAGTTTTCGCCACACTATACACCGCTGTTGTTTGGCCTCGATTGGCCCGGAGATTTTCTTATTCCCATAAAACGTTATTTATAACGTTTTAAAAATTGTAACGGACCGGTTCTCCTTGTTTCCGTCTTTGTTTTCCTTCTCACTCTCTCTCTTTCTCTCTTTCACTACGTACGTGTACGTATTATTATGTACATATTTTTTTTTTACGTCTGGGTGTCCCGTGTTTCCGTGCCCGAGAAATCTATACGGCGAGATACGAATCTGTATCGTATTGACACGCCGTGGTAATTGGCACCGGGGGTAGTTGAAAAAAATACATTTCTGTTCGCGTCCGCGAATAATACCATTAATCGGCTTAAGTTTTTGTTGTGCGGTTAAGAGATGTTTTCGAAGATTTCGATTTTCGATTGTCCACGATCCATACAAAATGTAGTCGGGTTGTTCGCTTACCCGTCGCGACCATATGGTCCTGGGAAATACATTATAAAACCTGTACACGGACGACGTTATGCCGACCAAAATATACCGTCGATATACGATCAAAGTCCTTCTACCCAAAGGTTATTTAACCGTTTAAAAAAAAGGTTCTCAGCGTTACATTCAAAACCGATACCGCACATCGACGGGGTGTACCCAATGGCTACTCAATCGTTATCATTTTCAATAAACACGTTCGCATTGGTCTGTCGGTCACGTTGGACGTATTCTAGATCCCCAATACATCCGATTGATACGCGCACGAGGTGTACGTGAGGAAATCGCGGGAGACCTACGCGCAAAAGGATCGGCCGACCAGTTGTGATTTTCCGAAACCCGGCGGAACGTCCTACGGAAATCTCACGAATGATAACACGGGCGCGCGTGCGCTGTACGGATTGAAAGCCGCTTTGGACACGACTCCGACGTCAATCCCTTTGGTCGGTACACGTGTTGGAACGATTACGAACGTGTTGAAAGCAATGGAGAAAAAAAGCGCTTGTCGTTCTTGCGATACGCGCGCAGAAACGACGACCGTTTGGATTCTGATGTTTCGTCCGACTGCGATTTCGTCGCGCCCCCTGACCGGTCGTCCTCGGAGCCGTAAGTCGGTACCGCCGACAAAACGCGAACCGGTTTCCCGCGACAGGGCGGTATCTTCCGTCCATTACGCGCAACAATGTGCGCATTGTTGTCGGTCCGTACGGGGCACACCGGTCGAGCAAACCGAATTTCTCATGACGGGCGTCCGCGCGTGAACTGCATAATGATATTCGGAATGTCCAGCTGCGACATTGTCGCGAGCGAATCTTCCTTACGTAAACACACACGCACTAGTCGGCGCGACGCTACGGTGCGTGTGCAGCCGCTGACCCCGTAAAAAAAAAACTAACAATAATAATAAATAAGAACATAAAGGAAAGAGGAGAAAAGGTTATCAAAAGACGCACGTGCAGTGTGTTTTGACGCCCATCGACCGGAGCGCGCGCGTTAAGGAACAAGACGTGTGCGCGCTCGTAAATCTTTCATCGCGGGCCCGAGAAAAGAACGCGAAAAAATCGTTACGATAAAATATGAATCACAAAAACGTGAACGGCTTTCTCTCTCTCTCTCTCTCTTTTCCGGAGCGAGTGACTGCAGCGCGCAACACTATTATTACCTACGCGAGACATCGTGTGTACAACAATCATGTCGTACGCGTATGAAAAAAAAAAACCCAAGGCGAATATAGAGTAGTACTTGGGGGACGCGGAATAAAAAAAAAATAAAAAAATAAACGGAACTCTACATGCATTTTTCGTCAACTGCGGAGACGCGTGATTGACAAGTACATTTGCATTATGCGGTGCCGCCAGATATACGCGCGCGAGACGTGCGGTCCAGACGCGACGAGGAGTGTATAATGAGAGCGCGAGAGAGAGGCGGAGGAAACCAGTCCGTCGGGGCATTGTTCGGTTTTTAGGGCTCAGACGGCGACGGCGACGGTGACGGCTACCGGGGTTTCGACGCAGCCACCGCGGGTCCAGCTTTCGGAGACAAAGGTCGAGACCGCGCCGGCGTAGCACAAAAGAATCACGGCACCGTGCGTAATTATTGTTGCCTCCGAGATCGGCGGTTGACCGAGTGGTACTCGTGTGGAGAGAGAGTTAAAAAAAAAAAAAAAAAAAAAAACCGGAACACTTTTTCCGATCGGTCCGCCACCTCGTACGAGCGTGATAATCGCCCGGTGTAATGATCACAACAACAATATTAATAATATGCAATACGTTAAAGTAGGTAAAACGCTGCGGGCGTCCAAACCAATCGGTTTCGGATTTCACGACCGAGTGCGAGCCCGGACACGGGTAGGCGGTGTTTTTACGACGTGGTAACGAAGTGAAATACGTTGGCCGAGGGGATGACGACGAACGCACGGTAAAACGTTTCGCGGCGAAGGGTTAGGCGCATAGCGTTCAGAAGATTACCGACACCGAAAACGAAACTGATCGGCGCCTTCGTATTGCCGTCCCTCGGTTACATTTTTTAATCGTCCTCCTGGTCGGCGCGTAATCTCATCGTGCACTCGGCGTTCGAAAACCTTCTCGGGACCGGGGATCTCGAGAACCCGTTCGCGAGGCATCTAAACGGTCAATGGCTGAAGATCACGGAATCACGTGCAGCGGACGAGAGAAACAACTGCAACGATAGTGCGCGCACATGCAGCGGTGACCATCGACCGTGACGCGGGTGCCGGTGGTTTTTTTTAGGTTATGATGCGAGAGGAACGTGTTCCGACGAGCATACAGAGCGAGCGCTGTGCACAGCCGCGCGTAAAGGTATTCGTCGTGCGATCGGTACGGGATACGTCTGGACGACCCAACGGTTTTCCGTACGTCTGCCCAATATCTGTACGGTTGCGCACGTGCGCGCGTCTATTCGACATGCGCTAATTTATTCCGCCCTTCGTCAGCCGGGACGAAACACAATACAATAATAGGCCAAACGTGCGGGAACACAGAACGCAGTGTCCTTATCTGATCGTGGCACTCCGACTTCCGCGCAAGGATGGTAGTCGTTCCCCGCGGAGCACGCGCCAAGGAACCGTCTTTATTGGCAACACCGATGCGCACATTACGAATAACGGGGGAAGACTTCCAGGCCGTACGTGTGTCGCGTCGCGACCGGATGGTAGCGGACGATTGTCGTCCGACGTAATCGCGTCATTCGCGATCGGTGGACAAACGTAACGATAACACGCGCGCGGTCGATTCGATTGTTTACCGGTAAACCGACTAAGTCGAAGGGTTTCGCGCGGACCGACCGAGGGACGATAAACGTACCGCGCAGTTGTTGTTGTTGTTGCTGCCAAACGAGAGACGTTTCCCGCGCGGGACTTTTCCGCGGACGCCCCGAAACGCGCGTAAACAAATATGTGTTGGTTACCACTCACGTGTCGATACGTCTTGGTACATCCGTCGGATCCGCTGACGGTGGACGGTCACGTTCTTCTCGCGTCCAAAACACCGGTGTCATATCACGCCGAGAACCGACCGGTCTCTCGACCGAGTGGAGGATAGGTAAAAAAAAAAAAAAAAAACCGATTCGCACAACGCGGAGACCGATCGCGCGGCTACTAACACTCGTCACGATTTACTGCGAAAACGGTATTTTATGTCTGTTTCGGTTTTCTCGCGTTGACCCGCGCGAAATCGTTCGTGTCGTACGAACGCGTGTGGCCACGACCGACGTGCAACGCCAAGAGTCAAACGATAACTGAAGTCTATCGGCAGTCGGACGGACTGGTTCACGTGCGCGCGCTGCGCTCGTTCGCGTACGTAAGCGTTGTATACGCACTACTACTGCTACTGCTACTACTACTACTACTACTAGTACTGCATGTTTTCCATTTTAACATTTTGACGATTTACAGCTGCTTGCACGGGGCCCCATTATACACACGTTATAGTGGTCCGCCACCTTTTGTGTATTATACGTTCATTTTTTTTTTTTCACTTCTTTTTTTTTTTTTTTTTTTTTTTTTTTTACAGCATTGTAATACCTGTGCCTTTTCGGCGGTGTGTTACCTGCGCGCGCGCGCGCACCTAAGAAACCCCGGGCCGCGTTTTATTACATTGTTTTGGGGGCAATACTTTTTTTTTTTTTTACGCGTCCGTCTCCTCCCCGAAACGTTTCCTCGGGGCTAACTTACGGCGCAAGTATTGTGCGTGTAGATTACTGCTGCGATATACTTGTTTTTTTTTTTAATTAACGTTTTGTTTCGATTTGTTTTTGTCGTGCCGTTGCACGGCCGCGTGCGACGCGAAACGCGCGTGTCCGGACGGTGAGGTAGCGAGCGTGTGGGACGGTAATCGTGATTACTGGGATCAGTCTTGACTATTCCGCATACGAAATATCTTCTTTCGCGACAAGCAATTCGTCCTCTATTGTAATATAATTCGGGGGAAAAAAATTGCTTTCATCGTTAATCAAACGACAAGTAGAACACAAACATGTGTCTCGATTCTATCGCCGAGTTGATCATCAATGTTCGTCCAAACTTTGTTCGTGGAACCTATGCAACAACCTGTAAGGCCGACATATTTCAAATCTTAAATTTTATTTACCGGTTCGTTTTTTCCCAAACTTTTCACGTAGCCCTCGGCGTTGACTTAATGGAACCTTTGGACATTTCGAAACACCGAAGAAGAGCTTGAATTGTATAGAAATGCTTTTGTAATATATTTTAGGATTTATTTCATTATGTTAGTTGGAATGTTCGTTACATTAATATACGTATGTGAACATCTTTAGCCCTTAAAAAATGTCACTGAAAATTACATTAAGCATGTAAATTAGAACATAATTAAACATTCTGATTAAACGTAAATTATGACTAAATGTTCCATTCATTTTTGTTAATAGTTTCTGTAGGTGATTAAAGAGAGGATACAAGTTAAAAAGCATTATAATAAAATAATAAAATAATGTGACAAACAATGTGTATAATTACGTAATGGCGTCCGCATGGTAAAAGGTTCACAAACTTTAAATTGATAAAATCCCTTCATGACTTTTCTTGATAAGATCAACATAACATGCTAGTACGCAGTGATAGTACCGATTACATCTAAATCCAAATTACTGTGGGTTTTTTAATTTTATTATCACCCATTTTTAGGGAAATCAAAACAAAAATATTTTCTTGGATATTGACTTTAATGGGATTTTGATAACAAATCGCAAAAAACTACGTACTACAGCAGCCTACGAGATTGTTGAAAATTTATATGTTCATAAATGATAGACACTTTACAGTACGGATACACTCGTAATAAGTAAAATGTTATCACTGATTTCAAAGATATCTTTAAAAAAAACACGTACCTTTATATCAAGAGGAATCTTACCCACACTCAGTTTTCTTTGAATTGCGCTAGTTTTTACATAATTTCGTAAATTCTTTGCTAAATTATTTTTAATTCGAATATTTGCGATTAATTGAATTTTGAGCGAACACATATTCATGAAAAAATTATAATTATATTTTATCTCCATACTATAACAAAATACAGACGGATTTAAAAGAAAAACAATTACCACCTCTTTTTTGATGTTTCATAGGCAACGGGAAATTAAAAATACAGAAAACTTTTAGAAATAGTTAATAATTATTTATCCAATATTTGCTAAAATGTTTAAAGAACTCGTTTCACATACATGTGTATTAACAACTGAAGTTCATTTTTGTATAGAATCGCATAAATTATCAGCTTTATTATCATTTTCGATAGCTATTAATTTCAAATACAAAACGAATTTTATAGTAATATAAATTGCGATTCGGTGAGATTACCAATATTCAAACATGTGTAACTATATATTTAGTTGTATGATTTCATTCACAAAATGTAATATATATTCAATCTTAACAAATAATTTTATTTAAAAATAATTATTGTTTATTACAACTAAAGCATATTATTGTGTAGATTATATGAAAATATTGATTAATGTTTATATCGGCCCGTCGGGTGTAGTACCATAATAATATTTAATAAAAGCGATCGAATATCAAAATCATAAGTTAGCTTTCGGTGTGCCACCAAGCAGAAAGAACAACAATAACCCCTTTTACTACCCTACCAATTGATCTAACAACCAACGGCCCGTTAACTTTTTGACCATAATGTCCTCGCACCGCATATGCATATAATAAAAGTAACATTGTTAATTATATACACTCGTGCACACACAATAACGCACATGTATCCGCAACGCGTTCTAATTATATTACGACCATAAATAATATTATTATTAATATTCAAACCTATCAATTTGACACGGACGAAAATTGAATATCTCGTTGCATATTTGTACCATAATAATATGTACAGAAATTCGTATTTTACCGGTTTTTTTTTTTTTTATGTACATATAAACAATACGCTGTGTACACGTGGTATTATAACGCGTAACATACCGTATACATACGTAATAAGTTCATATAAACGTATATTACGTTATTTTTGTACGAGTTTTACTATCGTTGTGTACACAACGTACACGTACAGCGGCTAATATTTACTATTAAGCAGAATAAGCAAATAGCTCCGTTATTAGGAGGATTTGACTATGAAATTTAATTTTTTTTTTTTTTTTAAATGCAACTGCCGTCGAACGATATAAATTAATGTATAATATCAATAAAAAAAAAAAAAAAAATAGTATAATCAGCGAGAAATACCGCTTTTTTTTTTATTTTTTCCGAGGGCCTCGAAGCACTATCGGGCCCTGCACGCAGGACGGTCCGTGCCGCGCACGGGACGCATTGATTGTCGAGCTCGGAAATCTTAAAGGGCCGCAGTTAACCGTCGTAAAACGGCCGGGTTGATGATATTACGACGGAGTGGTTTAATTGAAACGTTATGTTAACCGCGCAACGTTTAGCGGTCGTATCGTAAAAACGGTCGCGCACGGGTGTAAATCGCGGCGCCGGCGGAGTGTTCGGCAACAGTAGTGTCGTTCGCGGTGACTTTAACGCCCCGCGGCCCGTTAACGACGACGGAGGGTGCGGCTGGCCCGTCGTTTAGCGCACACGTCACGCGTAAGTAATATTGCACATAAATTTGCGCTATTACTTTTACTACTGTCATCCCTGTTATTGTTACCGGTGTAAACGATCGTGGACAACACGTAAAGTGATCATTACGCGCACGTTTCCATAGCGAACGTTCGTCATAACATTGCGGCGGGGGGACAATAAACGAAAAAATAATAAAAACGATGTTACGATCTTTCGCGCGTAATAATTACCGGTGGGAAAAATCCGGATTCGCTGAAATTCGAGATCCGAAATCCGGATCTTACTGTAAACCCGGATCTCGGATTTGAAAACATTGAAATAGTATTCTTTCAAGGGTTATTCGTATGAAATACAAAATAATTAAACATTCTCATATAAATGTTGTTGTGTAATATTAAATGTATAAGTCGGATATCATAAAATGGATTTTAGTTATTATTAGTTGTGTCTTCGAAAATAATGGTACGTAAGACTTGGAATGTTTACCAATTATTATATCTTATTTAGACCACCATCGTATTGCCCGAGAATTAAAATAACGACTACAAAGCGGTGTAATGAAATTTATATGATTAGAATACAGAAAATGTCCATAATCAACCCAAATCTTGGATTTTCTAGTCTGAAATCCGAAATCCGGGGATTTGGCAGATTTTCGAAGAATCCGGATTTCATTCCCATCACTTAGTCATAATAAGACACCATGATCTTTCGACGAAGGCAATAGGGGTGCTGGTAGACGAAGGATATCTTGGCTAAAAAATCTCCGGGACAGGTTTAGTACATAACATGAATTGAACTATTTCGTTCATTACTAGAAATAGAAGTAATATTCAATATGATCTCCAACATCCGAAACGGATAGGAACTTCGAGAAGAAGAATCTTTCGACGACGAACCCGCTGCGACGCGTTACAGAAACATGTGTTTATCATCCGCGCGGTACGGCTCGACGGTACGCCATACTTTCGTGTAAATACTATTATTATTATTATTACTGTTAGAGCAAGGGATTTGACACGTCTGGTAAAGTCTTGCACGGACGTATTAAAATACTTAAACACTAATGTTCTCGCATGAAACATTATTAAAAATACTTTTAAGATATTTTTGAGAAAACGTATTTTTTCGAACGCTTCTTGAGTATTTGAATCTTATATTTTTTACCATATGAATTTCAAACTGTACAGTTTGATTTTTCTGAGATCTATGTAAATCAAAAAAAAAAAAAAAAACGGGTTTTTATTGAGTAATACGATAGCACCGCCAATATTACCTTAGATAAAATAATTTTTATTGGTTTTTCATTTTTTGTGAAAAATTTACTAAACGGATTTCATTGTTTTTAAACACAAGTACTTACATTACACAAAAAATAATTGTATTGGAATATTTACGTATAAATAATGAATACATCATAGATTCAAAAATAAATACGTTTTGTGTTGAAACAAAGCTATTAATGTAATTTTATTTTACATATTTTACGATTTTCGCTTTTAGAACAAATTTCTCTATTTTATAGTTTTCCAAGCCTATTTTACACTTATTATATATTAATTAAAAATAAGTTGATACAATCTTGGTAACCATTTCGTTCATCAGGACAACAAAACCATAGAAAACAACAATCAATGTTGTTGGCATTTTATTTCTGTTCGTTTTCAATAAACGAGTATAATAATATTATGAACGTTGTTGGTGCTGTTGAATTATTGCTGACTTTTAACGGACGCACTTTTTTTTTTATTTTTTTTTTTTAGGA